TGAAAGACGAAATCCAGAAGCAAAAAGAGTCATACAAAGAAAAACTGTCTTCGCACCCAAATTTTCTCGCTCGGGGATTGACTCGGGTTTCTAGCGTATCCCGCCTTAGACGCAACGACCTCCCAACCCAGCAATCGATTTTTAGGGCCGTCTAACTCCGTATCAGTCAATATGACTGTTAGTTAAGTTAAAAATATAAGATTTGATACACCTCTTGTTAGTCTCGCAAAGAGAAGATTCAAGAAATAAAAGCAACGTTAAAATAAAAAAAAAAAAAAAAAAAAAATTCCTGCGTCTAGCATTCCAGTATCAGCTTGATATTGAGTATTATGCTCACTCAAAAGTGGTAATTGGTTCTACGGACAAGGTCATGCTCTGAAATTCAAAAATGAGCCAGCTGGGATGTGTTGCGCGTCAGGAAAAGTGCAACTACAAGAAATTGAAACACCACCTGAACCATTGAACGGCTTACTTATCGGCACGGATCCAGATTCTAATGTGTTCCTTAAGTCAATTCGAACATTTAATTCATGCTTTCAAATGACATCGTTCGGAACAACAGAAATAGTTCGAAATACTAATGCAAATGGCCAAGTTTATCATAATATGGGCTCACTGCTGCCAATGCCAAACGAACCACATAATTTCTTACAAATCTACTTTATGGGCGGCGAAGATTCCGGAAGCGCACTTGCCAATCGCGTGAATGCACCTTGTGATTATAATAAGCTTGATTCATTTTATGCCAGACGTAGCGTCAGTGCAGTGAGCTATATGCTCTATTGAACGAACACAATGAATTTTTGAAACGAAGCCGTAAATTTTCCTGCAGAGTTTTTGAACTCACTGGATTCGCAAGGCATGCCAACGAATAATGTACAATTAAAGGTTGGATCTCCAATTATCCTACGTCGGGTACCCGCCCCGACTCTGCTACGGTACGCGATTAGTCATTAAAAAATTAATGAAAAACGTGATCGAAGCCAGCATTTTAAATGGAAAATTGGTAATCCGGATAAGAATATATTCTTATAGATTCCTATCCGTGGTATTAGTATATTTTCACCACTGAACTTTACTCTGAACTCTGAACTCTTTTCAACTCTGAACTATACTTACAGATGCACCAATTCAATTCAATCGTATTCAGTTTCCGATTATATTGGCATTTGCAATGACTATCAACGAATCCCAAGGTCAAACGATGTCTATTTGTGGCTTAGATTTAAGAACACCATGTTTTTCATACGGACAATTATACGTGGCATGCTCTCGAGAGGTAAACCATCCAGTTTGTGTTAGCTAAAGATGGACTAACAAAAAATATTGTTCACGCTATTACTAAGAGATTGACTTGCTGAGTTACGATCAAATAATAACTTAAAAATAATGTTTTCCTTTTGTTATTTTTATATTCCCTCATGGTTCACAGCGCTTCAGATGACTTTATAATACATAATTCTAGAACTAAGTGAATTTTGTACATAAATTATAAAGACATCTGGTGGCAAAACATCGTTTGCCGAGTCAGCTAGTTTTATATATTAGTTTGGCTTCACTCAGAAAAATAGTTTGCGTTGTTTTGACAATTTTTTTTTCCTAATATCAAAGCGAGCTGGGTAAATATTTCATAATACATTCGATGTCATTTTATTTTCGATTCAAGACTTTCTTTTGTGGGTTTTGTTCTTAACATGTGCCCATATCGGGTCTGTTGGTATTGGATTTGGAAGTTACTTACACTATATAGTTATAGTTATACGCTTAAAGCAGTTATTAAACTTTTAAAATTTAAGGACATTAAATATACAACAAACAACTTTATCTGTGAAATAATATTCAACAATTACAGATTTTTTCATTTCAGCTACTGAAAATCAATAACTACCTATTAATAGAAACTATAAATTACTAACTAACAAATCTACTTTCTTGGCTTCTTTTTATACCCTTGCAGAGGGTATTATAATTTTGGTCAAAAGTGTGCAACGCAGTGAAGGAGACATCTCCGACCCTATAAAGTATATATATTCTTGATCAGGATCACCTCCTGAGTTGATATGAGCATGTCCGTCTGTCCGTCTGTCCGTCTGTCCGTCTGTCCGTCTGTCCGTCTGTCTGTCCGTCTGTCTGTTTCTACGCGAACTAGTCTCTCAGTTTTAAAGCTATCGTCTTAAAACTTTGCACACACCCTTCTTTCCTTTGCACGCAGTATATAAGTCGGAACGGCCCGGATCGGCCGACTATATCCTATAGCTGCCATATAACTGATTGATCGGAAATGGTATAACTTTGGTGTTTTTAGAGTTAGAGAGTTCAAATTTGACATGTGAGCTATATTTGGCAAAACATTACGTCATGCCAAATTTCATAAGGATCGGCCGACTATATCCTATAGCTGCCATATAACTGAACGATCGGAAATGACCCAACTTTCGTGTTTTTGAAGATAGAAAGCTGGAACTTAGTACAGATTTAATTCTTGGTCAGTTGATCCAACCTACCAAATTTCATTAGGATCGGCCGACTATATCCCATAGCTGCCATATAACTGAACGATCGGAAATGGTATTCGGTAGAAATATCAACTTTCGTATTTTTGAAGATAGAAGTTTGGGACTTTTTTTAGATTTTGTATTGTAATAAATTGGATTATATATTCCTATTCCCATAAGGATCGGCCAACTATATCCGATGTTTGCGATATATATCCGGTTTTAACTGCAAGGGTATATAAACTTCGGCTCCGCCCGAAGTTAGCTTTCCTTTCTTGTTTATATTATATTATAATATTTTATACTACAATTTCACAATTTAGAGTTAGAGAGTTTAAATTTTACACGAGAGCTATTTTTGGCAAAATAATACGACATACGAAATTTCATAACGATCGGTCGACTATACCTTATAGCTGCCTTATAACTGAACGATCGGAAATGGTATTTGGTAGACATACCAACTTTGGTATTTTTGAAGATAGAAGCTTGGGACTTTTTCTTAGATATTTTATTGTAATTAATTGGTTTTATTATGATGTTCTCATAAGGATCGGCCAACTATATCCGGTGTTTGCGATATATATCCGGTTTCAACTGCAAGGGTATATCAACTTCAACCGAATTAGCTTTTCTTTCTTGTTTTTGAATTGATCGATACTGAAGTTATTTCTTTGTTTATGAAATGAGATATACAACAAAAATTATTTTATTAAATTGTCCTATTAATACCTATACCATTAAAAAATATTTTACAATTCTAAATGAGATTCGTGAACTGTCTAGAAATGTAAAAATAAAGTGCTTGTTTGATTGAGTTTGATTTGAGTGAGTGCATGACTTTGATTTTTAAAATTAAATACCTGTTCTTTACTGCTATATCCTCAAGCATTTGTCGCAGTCAGAGAGCATTCATATTCCGAAAGCTGTTTAATGAAAAACATACATTTGTAATACAATTTTATTTAAACCATCATGCGTAAAATTTTCTGATTCAGTTTCCGTGGTGTAAGGATTCATCAATCGTTAAGAGTAGCAAATAATTTACCATCATGATTGGTATTTAATAATATATTCCGAACATATACAAACCTGCATAATAAGTCTGATTTTGAATTATTAACTGCATGTACGAAATGTGGTCATTCTAGGTGCCAAAACGGTGAAATCGTGAGTGTTGCACTAAAAAAATAAAAAACAAGAAAGCAAAGCTAACTTCGGGCGGAGCTTAAGTTGATACAACCTTGCAGTTAAAACCGGATATATATCGCAAACACCGGATATAGTTGGCCGAGCCTTATGATTACATCATAATAAAACCAATTAATTACAATCAAAATTCTAAAAAAAAAAGTTCCAAGCTTCTATCTTCAAAAATACGAAAGTTGATATTTCTACCAAGTACCATTTCCGATCGTTCAGTTATATGGCAGCTATAAGATATAGTCGACCGATCGTTATGAAATTTGGTAGGTTGGATTAACTGACCTATAGGATATAGTCGGCCGATCTTTATAAAATGTCGCATGTCGTTATATTTTGTGCAAAGAAAATAAGGGTGCGTGCAAGGTTTCAAGACAATAGCTTTAAAACTGAGAGACTAGTTCGCGTAGAAACAGACAGACGGACAGACAGACGGACATGCTCATATCAACTCAGGAGGTGATCCTGATCAAGAATATATATACTTTATAGGGTCGGAGATGTCTCCTTCACTGCGTTGCACACTTTTGACCAAAATTGTAATACCCTCTGCAAGGCTATAAAATAACCTATTGCCTTTTTTAATTTTGATTTATAAAATTAGATACCTTTTATTTTTAACATATTTAACATATAATCTTGGCTTCACTCAGAAAAATAGTTTGCGTTGGTTTGAACATTTTCTTCACTGCGTTGCATACTTTTGACCAAATAAGTTTCAAAAGAGGTTTTACAGAGAACTACCTAATCTAATTTTCAAAGAATAGTATATTTATAGTATCCCTAAATACTATGTCCCGAATTAGAAGTCTGTTTTCGCCTGGGCCAATAAAGTACAGTAACATTTTCACGAAAAAACATCACAAAATTGTAAATAAAAAAAAAGTAAGCAATATAAAAAAATATTTAAAAAAAAATCCTACGTTTGTCGCTAGATAAAGGTATTTTTAATATACTGTCAAAATTAAAAATCGATCGGTTAAGATCTATTCGAGTTATGTTTCAGGCCAGTCTCAAAAAAGTGATTCGAGAAATACGCGTTTAGAGTTTTAAGTACTGTGGGATATACTTGTGAGGCATCGCCGCAGAATGGAAAATTTCGACACTGACACTTTTGCCGGACTCTCTTTTATCGGTTCTTTTGACGTTATTTTTAAGACTCTAAAGAATTTTTGAGGCGGAAAAAAAAAATGTTCGATTGAGACTAGTTTGCGTTGTTACAAAGGCTGCGTGACTTGTAAAAAAGGTACAATGTATGTACATATGTTTAAATACATAAGGTAAAACAAATAAAATATTTACCCGATAGATAGATATTCCTATATCTTCACATAATCTTGTATATTTGTAAATTTAATTCCATAAAAAACGAAGATAGGACAATAAATCTAAAAAAAAAAAAAATGAAATTGTTTTGTAAAAAAAAATTTATTATTCTGGTAAAATTGTGTTGTAGCTACACTCAGCTATTTGGTGTTCATCAAGAAAGAACAGAGACGAAAAATAAATTCATCACAGATAATATTCTTTTAACTTAAACTAATTAAAACGACGTGTAGTTGAGACTTAATTTTTTTTTTAATGCATACAACTTAGAATGTTTTTTGTATTAAAAAATATAAATAAATGGCATCTTCAATAAATTTTCTTAAAACTATTTTAGTTTAAGTTTAGTTTACCTTAAATGGTACGTTTCTGGTACCTTGAATCCATTAGAATTAAAATCTGAAATGTGAAAATTTTATTATTTTCTTTTGGAATTTCTAATAGAAGCCCTACCTTTTAAAAAACTTTTTGTAATTTCTCCCTAATTAAGAAATAATAGTATACCTACCTATTAATAGAAAACATCTCCCAAACCCACATATAACTGCGGGCGGAGCCGATGTGTATATACCCTTGCAGTTAAAACCGGATATATATCGCAATCATCGGATATAGTTGGCCGCTCCTTATGCGAATATGAATATACCTGGTCGAAATAAACATTGGGACACTTTATTTTTTTTAAATAAAATCGTAAATGATTTTTAATTTTTTTTGTTTTTATTTTATTTGTAAATATAGAGAAGAAATGTATTGAAAACAGATAAAACTTTTTTATTTTACTGATCCTTTCCACGAAAATTGATATTGTTATGTTAGCTCCCTTAGAAATAATTATTGGGACACTGTAAAGAAAATAATTTTTAAAAAATTTATAATTGTAGAAAAAAAATGTATTTTCTTACCTAATAGTGGGTATTGCCTCCGTGCTTTGAAATTACTTCAGCCAAGCGTTTAGACATTAAATTAGCCAAATCCTGCAATGTTTTTCTTCGATTTTGGCCTATTCTTCAACAAAACCCTTCTTGAGCTGTGCCAAATTTTCAAACTGTCGTCCATTGCTGTATACTGTATTTGAGAGTATACCCCACACATTCTAAATCGGGTTTAGGTCGGGACTACAAGCTGGCCACCCCAAATGTTCAATTTTTTAATCCTCAAAAAACTGCTTTGACACTTCGGATACGTGGATGGCGGCGTGATCCTGTTGAAAAATTAACTTTTTCTCAAAATAAGTTTCGCCAAACGGTATCAAAACGTCGTCCATTAGTCTTATGACCATCTGAGAATTCATTCGTGTTAATCAAAAACATATAGAGGATCTTCCGGCGTATCCAAATGCGGCCCATACCATCAGTGACCCACCTCCAATATTGCGAGTATAGCAGGACTTGCGTTCACGGCGGATATCTCTCTAGGACATCATTTTTCCATCAGGACCATTCAAGTTGAAAGGAAAAATGATGTCCTAGAGAGATATCCGCCGTGAACGCAAGTCCTGCTATACTCGCAATATTGGAGGTGGGTCACTGATGGTATGGGCCGCATTTGATACGCCGGAAGATCCTCTATATGTTTTTGATTAACACGAATGAATTCTCAGATGGTCATAAGACTAATGGACGACGTTTTGATACCGTTTGGCGAAACTTATTTTGAGAAAAAGTTAATTTTTCAACAGGATCACGCCGCCATCCACGTATCCGAAGTGTCAAAGCAGTTTTTTGAGGATTAAAAAATTGAACATTTGGGGTGGCCAGCTTGTAGTCCCGACCTAAACCCGATTTAGAATGTGTGGGGTATACTCTCAAATACAGTATACAGCAATGGACGACAGTTTGAAAATTTGGCACAGCTCAAGAAGGGTTTTGTTGAAGAATAGGCCAAAATCGAAGAAAAACATTGCAGGATTTGGCTAATTTAATGTCTAAACGCTTGGCTGAAGTAATTTCAAAGCACGGAGGCAATACCCACTATTAGGTAAGAAAATACATTTTTTTTCTACAATTATAAATTTTTTAAAAATTATTTTCTTTACAGTGTCCCAATAATTATTTCTAAGGGAGCTAACATAAGAATATCAATTTTCGTGGAAAGGATCAGTAAAATAAAAAAGTTTTATCTGTTTTCAATGCATTTCTTCTCTATATTTACAAATAAAATAAAAACAAAAAAAATTAAAAATCATTTACGATTTTATTTAAAAAAAATAAAGTGTCCCAATATTTATTTCGACCAGGTATAAACCAATTTATTACAATACAAAATCTAAAAGAAGTCCCAAACTCCTATCTTCAAACATACCAAAGTTGGTATTTCTACCAAAAACCATTTTCGATCGTTCAGTTATATGGCAGCTATAAGATATAGTCGGTCGATCGTTATGAAATTTGGTAGGTCCGATCAACTGATCAAAAATAGAATCTGTACTAAGTTTCAGCTTTCTATCTTCAAAAACACGAAAGTTGGGTCATTTCCGATCGTTCAGTTATATGGCAGCTATAGGATATTGTCGGCCGATCCTTACAAAACTTGGCATGTCGTATTATTTTGCCATATTTTGTATTATTTTTTAGCGCTCATGTAAAATTCTAACTCTCTAACTCTAAAAACCCCGAGGTTATACCATTTCCGATCAATCAATTTTATGGCAGAAATAAGATATAGTCGACCGATCGTTATGAAATTTGGCATGTCGTATTATTGTGCCAAAAATAGCTCTTGTGTAAAATTTAAACTCTTTAACTCTAAAATCACTAAAGTTATACCATTTCCGATCAATCAGTTATATGGCAGCTATAGGATATAGTCGACCAATCCCGGCCGTTCCGACGTATATACTGCGTGCAAAGAAAATAAGGGTGCGTGCAATGTTTCAAGACAATAGCTTTAAAACTGAGAGACTAGTTCACGTATAATCAGACAGACAGACGGACATGCTCATATCAACTCCGACCCTATAAGGTATATATATTCTTGATCAGGATCACCTCCTGTCTCCTTCACAGCGTTGCACACTTTTGACCAAAATTGTAATACCCTCTGCAAGGCTATAAAATAACCTATTGCCTTCTTTAATTTTCATTTATAAAATTAGATACCTTTTATTTTGTTATGATTGGTTTTTAATAATATATTCCGAACATATACAAACCTGAATAATAAGCCCGAATTTAAATCTATAACTGCATGTACGAAAGGTTGTCATTCTAGGTGCCAAAACGGAGAGATCGGGGTCGTTGCACTAAAAAATAAAATAAAATACACTTTAAAATAGGTGACACCAAAATGGAGCAAATTTAACACATAATCTTGGCTTCACTCAGAAAAATAGTTTGCGTTGGTTTGAACATTTTCTTCACTTAATATCAAAGCGAGCTGGGTAAATATTTCATCATTCATTCGATGTTATTTTATTATCCTATTAATACCTATAACCTATATTCAAAAATACCAAATCGTAGCATTTTAACTTTCTAACTCTACAAGTAATAGGATTTCCGATCAATCAGTTATATATATGGCAGCTATAGGATATAGTCGGCCGATCCTTATGAAATTTGGCATGTCGTATTATCGTGCCAAAAATAGCTCTTGTGTAAAATTTAAACTCTTTAACTCTAAAATCACTAAAGTTATACCATTTCCGATCAATCAGTTATATGGCAGCTATAGGATATAGTCGACCGATCCCGGCCGTTCCGACGTATATACTGCGTGCAAAGAAAATAAGGGTGCGTGCAATGTTTCAAGACAATAGCTTTAAAACTGAGAGACTAGTTCACGTATAATCAGACAGACAGACGGACATGCTCATATCAACTCCGACCCTATAAGGTATATATATTCTTGATCAGGATCACCTCCTGTCTCCTTCACTGCATTGCACACTTTTGACCAAAATTGTAATACCCTCTGCAAGGCTATAAAATAACCTATTGCCTTCTTTAATTTTGATTTATAAAATTAGATACCTTTTATTTTGTTATGATTGGTTTTTAATAATATAATCCGAACATATACAAACCTGAATAATAAGCCCGAATTTAAATCTATAACTGCATGTACGAAAGTTTGTCATTCTAGGTGCCAAAACGGAGAGATCGGGGTCGTTGCACTACAAAATAAAATAAAATACACTTTAAAATAGGTTTCACCAAAATGGAGCAAATTTAACACATAATCTTGGCTTCACTCAGAAAAATAGTTTGCGTTGGTTTGAACATTTTCTTCACTTAATATCAAAGCGAGCTGGGTAAATATTTCATCATTCATTCGATGTTATTTTATTATCCTATTAATACCTATAACCTATATTCAAAAATACCAAATCGTAGCATTTTAACTTTCTAACTCTACAAGTAATAGGATTTCCGATCAATCAGTTATATATATGGCAGCTATAGGATATAGTCGGCCGATCCTTATGAAATTTGGCATGTCGTATTATCGTGCCAAAAATAGCTCTTGTGTAAAATTTAAACTCTTTAACTCTAAAATCACTAAAGTTATACCATTTCCGATCAATCAGTTATATGGCAGCTATAGGATATAGTCGACCGATCCCGGCCGTTCCGACGTATATACTGCGTGCAAAGAAAATAAGGGTGCGTGCAATGTTTCAAGACAATAGCTTTAAAACTGAGAGACTAGTTCACGTATAATCAGACAGACAGACGGACATGCTCATATCAACTCCGACCCTATAAGGTATATATATTCTTGATCAGGATCACCTCCTGTCTCCTTCACTGCCTTGCACACTTTTGACCAAAATTGTAATACCCTCTGCAAGGCTATAAAATAACCTATTGCCTTCTTTAATTTTGATTTATAAAATTAGATACCTTTTATTTTGTTATGATTGGTTTTTAATAATATAATCCGAACATATACAAACCTGAATAATAAGCCCGAATTTAAATCTATAACTGCATGTACGAAAGGTTGTCATTCTAGGTGCCAAAACGGAGAGATCGGGGTCGTTGCACTACAAAATAAAATAAAATACACTTTAAAATAGGTGACACCAAAATGGAGCAAATTTAACACATAATCTTGGCTTCACTCAGAAAAATAGTTTGCGTTGGTTTGAACATTTTCTTCACTTAATATCAAAGCGAGCTGGGTAAATATTTCATCATTCATTCGATGTTATTTTATTATCCTATTAATACCTATAACCTATATTCAAAAATACCAAATCGTAGCATTTTAACTTTCTTACTCTACAAGTAATAGTTTTTCCGATCAATCAGTTATATATATGGCAGCTATAGGATATAGTCGGCCGATCCTTATGAAATTTGGTTGGTCGGATTAACTGACCAAAAACATAATCTGAACTAAATTCCAGCTTTATCTTCAAAAATACGAAAGATGGGTCATTTCCCATCGTTCAGTTATATGGCAGCTATAGGATATAGTCGGCCGATCCTTATGAAATTTGGCATGTCGTATTATTGTGCCAAAAATAGCTCCTGTGTAAAATTTAAACTCTTTAACTCTAAAATCACTAAAGTTATACCATTTCCGATCAATCAGTTATATGGCAGCTATAGGATATAGTCGACCGATCCCGGCCGTTCCGACGTATATACTGCGTGCAAAGAAAATAAGGGTGCGTGCAATGTTTCAAGACAATAGCTTTAAAACTGAGAGACTAGTTCACGTATAATCAGACAGACAGACGGACATGCTCATATCAACTCCGACCCTATAAGGTATATATATTCTTGATCAGGATCACCTCCTGTCTCCTTCACTGCATTGCACACTTTTGACCAAAATTGTAATACCCTCTGCAAGGCTATAAAATAACCTATTGCCTTCTTTAATTTTGATTTATAAAATTAGATACCTTTTATTTTGTTATGATTGGTTTTTAATAATATAATCCGAACATATACAAACCTGAATAATAAGCCCGAATTGAAATCTATAACTGCATGTACGAAAGGTTGTCATTCTAGGTGCCAAAACGGAGAGATCGGGGTCGTTGCACTACAAAATAAAATAAAATACACTTTAAAATAGGTGACACCAAAATGGAGCAAATTTAACACATAATCTTGGCTTCACTCAGAAAAATAGTTTGCGTTGGTTTGAAAATTTTCTTCACTTAATATCAAAGCGAGCTGGGTAAATATTTCATCATTCATTCGATGTTATTTTATTATCCTATTAATACCTATAACCTATATTCAAAAATACCAAATCGTAGCATTTTAACTTTCTAACTCTACAAGTAATAGGATTTCCGATCAATCAGTTATATATATGGCAGCTATAGGATATAGTCGGCCGATCCTTATGAAATTTGGCATGTCGTATTATCGTGCCAAAAATAGCTCTTGTGTAAAATTTAAACTCTTTAACTCTAAAATCACTAAAGTTATACCATTTCCGATCAATCAGTTATATGGCAGCTATAGGATATAGTCGACCGATCCCGGCCGTTCCGACGTATATACTGCGTGCAAAGAAAATAAGGGTGCGTGCAATGTTTCAAGACAATAGCTTTAAAACTGAGAGACTAGTTCACGTATAATCAGACAGACAGACGGACATGCTCATATCAACTCCGACCCTATAAGGTATATATATTCTTGATCAGGATCACCTCCTGTCTCCTTCACAGCGTTGCACACTTTTGACCAAAATTGTAATACCCTCTGCAAGGCTATAAAATAACCTATTGCCTTCTTTAATTTTGATTTATAAAATTAGATACCTTTTATTTTGTTATGATTGGTTTTTAATAATATATTCCGAACATATACAAACCTGAATAATAAGCCCGAATTTAAATCTATAACTGCATGTACGAAAGGTTGTCATTCTAGGTGCCAAAACGGAGAGATCAGGGGTCGTTGCACTAAAAAATAAAATAAAATACACTTTAAAATAGGTGACACCAAAATGGAGCAAATTTAACACATAATCTTGGCTTCACTCAGAAAAATAGTTTGCGTTGGTTTGAACATTTTCTTCACTTAATATCAAAGCGAGCTGGGTAAATATTTCATCATTCATTCGATGTTATTTTATTATCCTATTAATACCTATAACCTATATTCAAAAATACCAAATCGTAGCATTTTAACTTTCTAACTCTACAAGTAATAGGATTTCCGATCAATCAGTTATATATATGGCAGCTATAGGATATAGTCGGCCGATCCTTATGAAATTTGGCATGTCGTATTATCGTGCCAAAAATAGCTCTTGTGTAAAATTTAAACTCTTTAACTCTAAAATCACTAAAGTTATACCATTTCCGATCAATCAGTTATATGGCAGCTATAGGATATAGTCGACCGATCCCGGCCGTTCCGACGTATATACTGCGTGCAAAGAAAATAAGGGTGCGTGCAATGTTTCAAGACAATAGCTTTAAAACTGAGAGACTAGTTCACGTATAATCAGACAGACAGACGGACATGCTCATATCAACTCCGACCCTATAAGGTATATATATTCTTGATCAGGATCACCTCCTGTCTCCTTCACTGCATTGCACACTTTTGACCAAAATTGTAATACCCTCTGCAAGGCTATAAAATAACCTATTGCCTTCTTTAATTTTGATTTATAAAATTAGATACCTTTTATTTTGTTATGATTGGTTTTTAATAATATAATCCGAACATATACAAACCTGAATAATAAGCCCGAATTTAAATCTATAACTGCATGTACGAAAGTTTGTCATTCTAGGTGCCAAAACGGAGAGATCGGGGTCGTTGCACTACAAAATAAAATAAAATACACTTTAAAATAGGTTTCACCAAAATGGAGCAAATTTAACACATAATCTTGGCTTCACTCAGAAAAATAGTTTGCGTTGGTTTGAACATTTTCTTCACTTAATATCAAAGCGAGCTGGGTAAATATTTCATCATTCATTCGATGTTATTTTATTATCCTATTAATACCTATAACCTATATTCAAAAATACCAAATCGTAGCATTTTAACTTTCTAACTCTACAAGTAATAGGATTTCCGATCAATCAGTTATATATATGGCAGCTATAGGATATAGTCGGCCGATCCTTATGAAATTTGGCATGTCGTATTATCGTGCCAAAAATAGCTCTTGTGTAAAATTTAAACTCTTTAACTCTAAAATCACTAAAGTTATACCATTTCCGATCAATCAGTTATATGGCAGCTATAGGATATAGTCGACCGATCCCGGCCGTTCCGACGTATATACTGCGTGCAAAGAAAATAAGGGTGCGTGCAATGTTTCAAGACAATAGCTTTAAAACTGAGAGACTAGTTCACGTATAATCAGACAGACAGACGGACATGCTCATATCAACTCCGACCCTATAAGGTATATATATTCTTGATCAGGATCACCTCCTGTCTCCTTCACTGCCTTGCACACTTTTGACCAAAATTGTAATACCCTCTGCAAGGCTATAAAATAACCTATTGCCTTCTTTAATTTTGATTTATAAAATTAGATACCTTTTATTTTGTTATGATTGGTTTTTAATAATATAATCCGAACATATACAAACCTGAATAATAAGCCCGAATTTAAATCTATAACTGCATGTACGAAAGGTTGTCATTCTAGGTGCCAAAACGGAGAGATCGGGGTCGTTGCACTACAAAATAAAATAAAATACACTTTAAAATAGGTGACACCAAAATGGAGCAAATTTAACACATAATCTTGGCTTCACTCAGAAAAATAGTTTGCGTTGGTTTGAACATTTTCTTCACTTAATATCAAAGCGAGCTGGGTAAATATTTCATCATTCATTCGATGTTATTTTATTATCCTATTAATACCTATAACCTATATTCAAAAATACCAAATCGTAGCATTTTAACTTTCTTACTCTACAAGTAATAGTTTTTCCGATCAATCAGTTATATATATGGCAGCTATAGGATATAGTCGGCCGATCCTTATGAAATTTGGTTGGTCGGATTAACTGACCAAAAACATAATCTGAACTAAATTCCAGCTTTATCTTCAAAAATACGAAAGATGGGTCATTTCCCATCGTTCAGTTATATGGCAGCTATAGGATATAGTCGGCCGATCCTTATGAAATTTGGCATGTCGTATTATTGTGCCAAAAATAGCTCCTGTGTAAAATTTAAACTCTTTAACTCTAAAATCACTAAAGTTATACCATTTCCGATCAATCAGTTATATGGCAGCTATAGGATATAGTCGACCGATCCCGGCCGTTCCGACGTATATACTGCGTGCAAAGAAAATAAGGGTGCGTGCAATGTTTCAAGACAATAGCTTTAAAACTGAGAGACTAGTTCACGTATAATCAGACAGACAGACGGACATGCTCATATCAACTCCGACCCTATAAGGTATATATATTCTTGATCAGGATCACCTCCTGTCTCCTTCACTGCATTGCACACTTTTGACCAAAATTGTAATACCCTCTGCAAGGCTATAAAATAACCTATTGCCTTCTTTAATTTTGATTTATAAAATTAGATACCTTTTATTTTGTTATGATTGGTTTTTAATAATATAATCCGAACATATACAAACCTGAATAATAAGCCCGAATTGAAATCTATAACTGCATGTACGAAAGGTTGTCATTCTAGGTGCCAAAACGGAGAGATCGGGGTCGTTGCACTACAAAATAAAATAAAATACACTTTAAAATAGGTGACACCAAAATGGAGCAAATTTAACACATAATCTTGGCTTCACTCAGAAAAATAGTTTGCGTTGGTTTGAAAATTTTCTTCACTTAATATCAAAGCGAGCTGGGTAAATATTTCATCATTCATTCGATGTTATTTTATTATCCTATTAATACCTATAACCTATATTCAAAAATACCAAATCGTAGCATTTTAACTTTCTAACTCTACAAGTAATAGGATTTCCGATCAATCAGTTATATATATGGCAGCTATAGGATATAGTCGGCCGATCCTTATGAAATTTGGCATGTCGTATTATCGTGCCAAAAATAGCTCTTGTGTAAAATTTAAACTCTTTAACTCTAAAATCACTAAAGTTATACCATTTCCGATCAATCAGTTATATGGCAGCTATAGGATATAGTCGACCGATCCCGGCCGTTCCGACGTATATACTGCGTGCAAAGAAAATAAGGGTGCGTGCAATGTTTCAAGACAATAGCTTTAAAACTGAGAGACTAGTTCACGTATAATCAGACAGACAGACGGACATGCTCATATCAACTCCGACCCTATAAGGTATATATATTCTTGATCAGGATCACCTCCTGTCTCCTTCACTGCCTTGCACACTTTTGACCAAAATTGTAATACCCTCTGCAAGGCTATAAAATAACCTATTGCCTTCTTTAATTTTGATTTATAAAATTAGATACCTTTTATTTTGTTATGATTGGTTTTTAATAATATAATCCGAACATATACAAACCTGAATAATAAGCCCGAATTTAAATCTATAACTGCATGTACGAAAGGTTGTCATTCTAGGTGCCAAAACGGAGAGATCGGGGTCGTTGCACTACAAAATAAAATAAAATACACTTTAAAATAGGTGACACCAAAATGGAGCAAATTTAACACATAATCTTGGCTTCACTCAGAAAAATAGTTTGCGTTGGTTTGAACATTTTCTTCACTTAATATCAAAGCGAGCTGGGTAAATATTTCATCATTCATTCGATGTTAATTTATTATCCAAATAATACCTATAACCTATATTCAAAAATACCAAATCGTAGCATTTTAACTTTCTAACTCTACAAGTAATAGGATTTCCGATCAATCAGTTATACACTGACGAGCAAAACTGTAACACGAGTTCAATGTTTCAACTTCAAAGGTCTGTAACTTTTTTTTAAGGACGCTCTTGGTATGGAACTAGAGATCCGAAGATGCAGTCACCAAGGAATGTGCGAAAAACTGTCAAGCACGGTGCCGGTTCCAACATGGTTCGGGGATGAATTCATTTAAATGGAGTTGGTCCTTTAGGGTTAATCGATGGGATAATGCGAAAGGAGCAATATCTAGCCATTTTACAAGAGAATCTTCCGAAGGTTATTGAGAATATGGGTCTTTTTGCCTAAAAATGCGTTTTCAAAGAAAGGCAACGACCCGAAGCACACGTCCATAATGGTGAAAAATAAGATTGCGAAACAGAAATTTCAATCTATGAAGTGGCTACCACAATATCCCGACATGACTCCAATAAAAAACTTGTGGAGTCCTGTGAAATCGCGGCTGTTGAAATATGCAGTTCCTCCAAGTAGAGTGAAGGAGTTGTGGGAACGGACACAGGACATATGGAATGCTGTTCCACCGGAAATGGTACAACGGTATATTCAAAGTATGCCCAATCCCATAGAAGAGCTGAAAAAGTCCAAAGGAATGTGGACTCATTATTAAAAAACAATAAATAAAAATATTTGTTAAAAAAATAACCAGAGTGCAAAACTGTAACATTTGACTTTTTTTACAGTTTGGCGTGTCATTTTCTTTAACCTATACAAAATGGCTTCTAGTTTAACTCAATAGTAGTAAATTATATAACCTACAAAAAAAGACTAAAATCTTTAAAATGCGTGCCTTAAAAAAAAAGTTACAGACCTTTGAAGTTGAAACATTGAACTCGTGTTACAGTTTTGCTCGTCAGTGTATATATGGCAGCTATAGGATATAGTCGTCCGATCCTTATGAAATTCGGTAGGTCGGATTAACTGACCAAAAACATAATCTGAACTAAATTCGAGCTTTATCTTCAAAAACACGAAAGATGGGTCATTTCCCATCGTTCAGTTATATGGCAGCTATAGGATATAGTCGGCCGACCCTTATGAAATTCGGTAGGTCGGATTAACTGACCAAAAACATAATCTGAACTAAATTCCAGCTTTATCTTCAAAAACACGAAAGATGGGTTATTTCCCATCGTTCAGTTATATGGCAGCTATAGGATATAGTCGGCCGATCCTTATGAAATTTGGCATGTCGTATTATTGTGCCAAAAATAGCTCTTGTGTAAAATTTAAACTCTTTAACTCTAAAATCACTAAAGGTACACCATTTCCGATCAATCAGTTATATGGCAGCTATAGGATATAGTCGACCGATCCCGGCAGTTCCGACGTATATACTGCGTGCAAAGAAAATAAGGGTGCGTGCAATGTTTCAAGACAATAGCTTTAAAACTGAGAGACTAGTTCACGTATAATCAGACAGACAGACGGACATGCTCATATCAACTCCGACCCTATAAGGTATATATATTCTTGATCAGGATCACCTCCTTTCTCCTTCACTGCATTGCACACTTTTGACCAAAATTGTAATACCCTCTGCAAGGCTATAAAATAACCTATTGCCTTCTTTAATTTTGATTTATAAAATTAGATTCCTTTTATTTTGTTATGATTGGTTTTTAATAATATAATCCGAACATATACAAACCTGAATAATAAGCCCGAATTTAAATCTATAACTGCATGTACGAAAGGTTGTCATTCTAGGTGCCAAAACGGAGAGATCAGGGGTCGTTGCACTACAAAATAAAATAAAATACACTTTAAAATAGGTTTCTCCAAAATGGAGCAAATTTAACACAAAATCTTGGCTTCACTCAGAAAAATAGTTTGCGTTGGTTTGAACATTTTCTTCACTTAGCATTTTAGAATTTTAACTTTCTAACTCTACAAGTAATAGGATTTCCGATCAATCAGTTATATATATGGCAGCTATAGGATATAGCTATAGGATATAGCTCCTGTGTAAAATTTAAACTCTTTAACTCTAAAATCACTAAAGTTATACCATTTCCGATCAATCAGTTATATGGCAGCTATAGGATATAGTCGACCGATCCCGGCCGTTCCGACGTATATACTGCGTGCAAAGAAAATAAGGGTGCGTGCAATGTTTCAAGACGATAGCTTTAAAACTGAGAGACTAGTTCACGTATAATCAGACAGACAGACGGACATGCTCATATCAACTCCGACCCTATAAGGTATATATATTCTTGATCAGGATCACCTCCTGTCTCCTTCACTGCATTGCACACTTTTGACCAAAATTGTAATACCCTCTGCAAGGCTATAAAATAACCTATTGCCTTCTTTAATTTTGATTTATAAAATTAGATACCTTTTATTTTGTTATGATTGGTTTTTAATAATATAATCCGAACATATACAAACCTGAATAATAAGCCCGAATTTAAATCTATAACTGCATGTACGAAAGGTTGTCATTCTAGGTGCCAAAACGGAGAGATCGGGGTCGTTGCACTACAAAATAAAATAAAATACACTTTAAAATAGGTTTCACCAACATGGAGCAAATTTAACACATAATCTTGGCTTCACTCAGAAAAATAGTTTGCGTTGGTTTGAACATTTTCTTCACTTAATATCAAAGCGAGCTGGGTAAATATTTCATCATTCATTCGATGTTATTTTATTATCCTATTAATACCTATAACCTATATTCAAAAATACCAAATCGTAGCATTTTAACTTTCTAACTCTACAAGTAATAGGATTTCCGATCAATCAGTTATATATATGGCAGCTATAGGATATAGTCGGCCGATCCTTATGAAATTTGGCATGTCGTATTATCGTGCCAAAAATAGCTCTTGTGTAAAATTTAAACTCTTTAACTCTAAAATCACTAAAGTTATACCATTTCCGATCAATCAGTTATATGGCAGCTATAGGATATAGTCGACCGATCCCGGCCGTTCCGACGTATATACTGCGTGCAAAGAAAATAAGGGTGCGTGCAATGTTTCAAGACAATAGCTTTAAAACTGAGAGACTAGTTCACGTATAATCAGACAGACAGACGGACATGCTCATATCAACTCCGACCCTATAAGGTATATATATTCTTGATCAGGATCACCTCCTGTCTCCTTCACTGCCTTGCACACTTTTGACCAAAATTGTAATACCCTCTGCAAGGCTATAAAATAACCTATTGCCTTCTTTAATTTTGATTTATAAAATTAGATACCTTTTATTTTGTTATGATTGGTTTTTAATAATATAATCCGAACATATACAAACCTGAATAATAAGCCCGAATTTAAATCTATAACTGCATGTACGAAAGGTTGTCATTCTAGGTGCCAAAACGGAGAGATCGGGGTCGTTGCACTACAAAATAAAATAAAATACACTTTAAAATAGGTGACACCAAAATGGAGCAAATTTAACACATAATCTTGGCTTCACTCAGAAAAATAGTTTGCGTTGGTTTGAACATTTTCTTCACTTAATATCAAAGCGAGCTGGGTAAATATTTCATCATTCATTCGATGTTAATTTATTATCCAAATAATACCTATAACCTATATTCAAAAATACCAAATCGTAGCATTTTAACTTTCTAACTCTACAAGTAATAGGATTTCCGATCAATCAGTTATACACTGACGAGCAAAACTGTAACACGAGTTCAATGTTTCAACTTCAAAGGTCTGTAACTTTTTTTTAAGGACGCTCTTGGTATCGAACTAGAGATCCGAAGATGCAGTCACCAAGGAATGTGCGAAAAACTGTCAAGCACGGTGCCGGTTCCAACATGGTTCGGGGATGAATTCATTTAAATGGAGTTGGTCCTTTAGGGTTAATCGATGGGATAATGCGAAAGGAGCAATATCTAGCCATTTTACAAGAGAATCTTCCGAAGGTTATTGAGAATATGGGTCTTTTTGCCTAAAAATGCGTTTTCAAAGAAAGGCAACGACCCGAAGCACACGTCCATAATGGTGAAAAATAAGATTGCGAAACAGAAATTTCAATCTATGAAGTGGCTACCACAATATCCCGACATGACTCCAATAAAAAACTTGTGGAGTCCTGTGAAATCGCGGCTGTTGAAATATGCAGTTCCTCCAAGTAGAGTGAAGGAGTTGTGGGAACGGACACAGGACATATGGAATGCTGTTCCACCGGAAATGGTACAACGGTATATTCAAAGTATGCCCAATCCCATAGAAGAGCTGAAAAAGTCCAAAGGAATGTGGACTCATTATTAAAAAACAATAAATAAAAATATTTGTTAAAAAAATAACCAGAGTGCAAAACTGTAACATTTGACTTTTTTTACAGTTTGGCGTGTCATTTTCTTTAACCTATATAAAATGGCTTCTAGTTTAACTCAATAGTAGTAAATTATATAACCTACAAAAAAAGACTAAAATCTTTAAAATGCGTGCCTTAAAAAAAAAGTTACAGACCTTTGAAGTTGAAACATTGAACTCGTGTTACAGTTTTGCTCGTCAGTGTATATATGGCAGCTATAGGATATAGTCGTCCGATCCTTATGAAATTCGGTAGGTCGGATTAACTGACCAAAAACATAATCTGAACTAAATTCGAGCTTTATCTTCAAAAACACGAAAGATGGGTCATTTCCCATCGTTCAGTTATATGGCAGCTATAGGATATAGTCGGCCGACCCTTATGAAATTCGGTAGGTCGGATTAACTGACCAAAAACATAATCTGAACTAAATTCCAGCTTTATCTTCAAAAACACGAAAGATGGGTTATTTCCCATCGTTCAGTTATATGGCAGCTATAGGATATAGTCGGCCGATCCTTATGAAATTTGGCATGTCGTATTATTGTGCCAAAAATAGCTCTTGTGTAAAATTTAAACTCTTTAACTCTAAAATCACTAAAGGTACACCATTTCCGATCAATCAGTTATATGGCAGCTATAGGATATAGTCGACCGATCCCGGCAGTTCCGACGTATATACTGCGTGCAAAGAAAATAAGGGTGCGTGCAATGTTTCAAGACAATAGCTTTAAAACTGAGAGACTAGTTCACGTATAATCAGACAGACAGACGGACATGCTCATATCAACTCCGACCCTATAAGGTATATATATTCTTGATCAGGATCACCTCCTTTCTCCTTCACTGCATTGCACACTTTTGACCAAAATTGTAATACCCTCTGCAAGGCTATAAAATAACCTATTGCCTTCTTTAATTTTGATTTATAAAATTAGATTCCTTTTATTTTGTTATGATTGGTTTTTAATAATATAATCCGAACATATACAAACCTGAATAATAAGCCCGAATTTAAATCTATAACTGCATGTACGAAAGGTTGTCATTCTAGGTGCCAAAACGGAGAGATCGGGGTCGTTGCACTACAAAATAAAATAAAATACACTTTAAAATAGGTTTCTCCAAAATGGAGCAAATTTAACACAAAATCTTGGCTTCACTCAGAAAAATAGTTTGCGTTGGTTTGAACATTTTCTTCACTTAGCATTTTAGAATTTTAACTTTCTAACTCTACAAGTAATAGGATTTCCGATCAATCAGTTATATATATGGCAGCTATAGGATATAGCTATAGGATATAGCTCCTGTGTAAAATTTAAACTCTTTAACTCTAAAATCACTAAAGTTATACCATTTCCGATCAATCAGTTATATGGCAGCTATAGGATATAGTCGACCGATCCCGGCCGTTCCGACGTATATACTGCGTGCAAAGAAAATAAGGGTGCGTGCAATGTTTCAAGACGATAGCTTTAAAACTGAGAGACTAGTTCACGTATAATCAGACAGACAGACGGACATGCTCATATCAACTCCGACCCTATAAGGTATATATATTCTTGATCAGGATCACCTCCTGTCTCCTTCACTGCATTGCACACTTTTGACCAAAATTGTAATACCCTCTGCAAGGCTATAAAATAACCTATTGCCTTCTTTAATTTTGATTTATAAAATTAGATACCTTTTATTTTGTTATGATTGGTTTTTAATAATATAATCCGAACATATACAAACCTGAATAATAAGCCCGAATTTAAATCTATAACTGCATGTACGAAAGGTTGTCATTCTAGGTGCCAAAACGGAGAGATCGGGGTCGTTGCACTACAAAATAAAATAAAATACACTTTAAAATAGGTTTCACCAACATGGAGCAAATTTAACACATAATCTTGGCTTCACTCAGAAAAATAGTTTGCGTTGGTTTGAACATTTTCTTCACTTAATATCAAAGCGAGCTGGGTAAATATTTCATCATTCATTCGATGTTATTTTATTATCCTATTAATACCTATAACCTATATTCAAAAATACCAAATCGTAGCATTTTAACTTTCTAACTCTACAAGTAATAGGATTTCCGATCAATCAGTTATATATATGGCAGCTATAGGATATAGTCGGCCGATCCTTATGAAATTTGGCATGTCGTATTATCGTGCCAAAAATAGCTCTTGTGTAAAATTTAAACTCTTTAACTCTAAAATCACTAAAGTTATACCATTTCCGATCAATCAGTTATATGGCAGCTATAGGATATAGTCGACCGATCCCGGCCGTTCCGACGTATATACTGCGTGCAAAGAAAATAAGGGTGCGTGCAATGTTTCAAGACAATAGCTTTAAAACTGAGAGACTAGTTCACGTATAATCAGACAGACAGACGGACATGCTCATATCAACTCCGACCCTATAAGGTATATATATTCTTGATCAGGATCACCTCCTGTCTCCTTCACTGCCTTGCACACTTTTGACCAAAATTGTAATACCCTCTGCAAGGCTATAAAATAACCTATTGCCTTCTTTAATTTTGATTTATAAAATTAGATACCTTTTATTTTGTTATGATTGGTTTTTAATAATATAATCCGAACATATACAAACCTGAATAATAAGCCCGAATTTAAATCTATAACTGCATGTACGAAAGGTTGTCATTCTAGGTGCCAAAACGGAGAGATCGGGGTCGTTGCACTACAAAATAAAATAAAATACACTTTAAAATAGGTGACACCAAAATGGAGCAAATTTAACACATAATCTTGGCTTCACTCAGAAAAATAGTTTGCGTTGGTTTGAACATTTTCTTCACTTAATATCAAAGCGAGCTGGGTAAATATTTCATCATTCATTCGATGTTATTTTATTATCCTATTAATACCTATAACCTATATTCAAAAATACCAAATCGTAGCATTTTAACTTTCTAACTCTACAAGTAATAGTTTTTCCGATCAATCAGTTATATATATGGCAGCTATAGGATATAGTCGGCCGATCCTTATGAAATTTGGTTGGTCGGATTAACTGACCAAAAACATAATCTGAACTAAATTCCAGCTTTATCTTCAAAAATACGAAAGATGGGTCATTTCCCATCGTTCAGTTATATGGCAGCTATAGGATATAGTCGGCCGATCCTTATGAAATTTGGCATGTCGTATTATTGTGCCAAAAATAGCTCCTGTGTAAAATTTAAACTCTTTAACTCTAAAATCACTAAAGTTATACCATTTCCGATCAATCAGTTATATGGCAGCTATAGGATATAGTCGACCGATCCCGGCCGTTCCGACGTATATACTGCGTGCAAAGAAAATAAGGGTGCGTGCAATGTTTCAAGACAATAGCTTTAAAACTGAGAGACTAGTTCACGTATAATCAGACAGACAGACGGACATGCTCATATCAACTCCGACCCTATAAGGTATATATATTCTTGATCAGGATCACCTCCTGTCTCCTTCACTGCATTGCACACTTTTGACCAAAATTGTAATACCCTCTGCAAGGCTATAAAATAACCTATTGCCTTCTTTAATTTTGATTTATAAAATTAGATACCTTTTATTTTGTTATGATTGGTTTTTAATAATATAATCCGAACATATACAAACCTGAATAATAAGCCCGAATTGAAATCTATAACTGCATGTACGAAAGGTTGTCATTCTAGGTGCCAAAACGGAGAGATCGGGGTCGTTGCACTACAAAATAAAATAAAATACACTTTAAAATAGGTGACACCAAAATGGAGCAAATTTAACACATAATCTTGGCTTCACTCAGAAAAATAGTTTGCGTTGGTTTGAACATTTTCTTCACTTAATATCAAAGCGAGCTGGGTAAATATTTCATCATTCATTCGATGTTATTTTATTATCCTATTAATACCTATAACCTATATTCAAAAATACCAAATCGTAGCATTTTAACTTTCTAACTCTACAAGTAATAGGATTTCCGATCAATCAGTTATACACTGACGAGCAAAACTGTAACACGAGTTCAATGTTTCAACTTCAAAGGTCTGTAACTTTTTTTTAAGGACGCTCTTGGTATCGAACTAGAGATCCGAAGATGCAGTCACCAAGGAATGTGCGAAAAACTGTCAAGCACGGTGCCGGTTCCAACATGGTTCGGGGATGAATTCATTTAAATGGAGTTGGTCCTTTAGGGTTAATCGATGGGATAATGCGAAAGGAGCAATATCTAGCCATTTTACAAGAGAATCTTCCGAAGGTTATTGAGAATATGGGTCTTTTTGCCTAAAAATGCGTTTTCAAAGAAAGGCAACGACCCGAAGCACACGTCCATAATGGTGAAAAATAAGATTGCGAAACAGAAATTTCAATCTATGAAGTGGCTACCACAATATCCCGACATGACTCCAATAAAAAACTTGTGGAGTCCTGTGAAATCGCGGCTGTTGAAATATGCAGTTCCTCCAAGTAGAGTGAAGGAGTTGTGGGAACGGACACAGGACATATGGAATGCTGTTCCACCGGAAATGGTACAACGGTATATTCAAAGTATGCCCAATCCCATAGAAGAGCTGAAAAAGTCCAAAGGAATGTGGACTCATTATTAAAAAACAATAAATAAAAATATTTGTTAAAAAAATAACCAGAGTGCAAAACTGTAACATTTGACTTTTTTTACAGTTTGGCGTGTCATTTTCTTTAACCTATATAAAATGGCTTCTAGTTTAACTCAATAGTAGTAAATTATATAACCTACAAAAAAAGACTAAAATCTTTAAAATGCGTGCCTTAAAAAAAAAGTTACAGACCTTTGAAGTTGAAACATTGAACTCGTGTTACAGTTTTGCTCGTCAGTGTATATATGGCAGCTATAGGATATAGTCGTCCGATCCTTATGAAATTCGGTAGGTCGGATTAACTGACCAAAAACATAATCTGAACTAAATTCGAGCTTTATCTTCAAAAACACGAAAGATGGGTCATTTCCCATCGTTCAGTTATATGGCAGCTATAGGATATAGTCGGCCGACCCTTATGAAATTCGGTAGGTCGGATTAACTGACCAAAAACATAATCTGAACTAAATTCCAGCTTTATCTTCAAAAACACGAAAGATGGGTTATTTCCCATCGTTCAGTTATATGGCAGCTATAGGATATAGTCGGCCGATCCTTATGAAATTTGGCATGTCGTATTATTGTGCCAAAAATAGCTCTTGTGTAAAATTTAAACTCTTTAACTCTAAAATCACTAAAGGTACACCATTTCCGATCAATCAGTTATATGGCAGCTATAGGATATAGTCGACCGATCCCGGCAGTTCCGACGTATATACTGCGTGCAAAGAAAATAAGGGTGCGTGCAATGTTTCAAGACAATAGCTTTAAAACTGAGAGACTAGTTCACGTATAATCAGACAGACAGACGGACATGCTCATATCAACTCCGACCCTATAAGGTATATATATTCTTGATCAGGATCACCTTCTTTCTCCTTCACTGCATTGCACACTTTTGACCAAAATTGTAATACCCTCTGCAAGGCTATAAAATAACCTATTGCCTTCTTTAATTTTGATTTATAAAATTAGATTCCTTTTATTTTGTTATGATTGGTTTTTAATAATATAATCCGAACATATACAAACCTGAATAATAAGCCCGAATTTAAATCTATAACTGCATGTACGAAAGGTTGTCATTCTAGGTGCCAAAACGGAGAGATCGGGGTCGTTGCACTACAAAATAAAATAAAATACACTTTAAAATAGGTTTCTCCAAAATGGAGCAAATTTAACACATAATCTTGGCTTCACTCAGAAAAATAGTTTGCGTTGGTTTGAACATTTTCTTCACTTAGCATTTTAGAATTTTAACTTTCTAACTCTACAAGTAATAGGATTTCCGATCAATCAGTTATATATATGGCAGCTATAGGATATAGCTATAGGATATAGCTCCTGTGTAAAATTTAAACTCTTTAACTCTAAAATCACTAAAGTTATACCATTTCCGATCAATCAGTTATATGGCAGCTATAGGATATAGTCGACCGATCCCGGCCGTTCCGACGTATATACTGCGTGCAAAGAAAATAAGGGTGCGTGCAATGTTTCAAGACAATAGCTTTAAAACTGAGAGACTAGTTCACGTATAATCAGACAGACAGACGGACATGCTCATATCAACTCCGACCCTATAAGGTATATATATTCTTGATCAGGATCACCTCCTGTCTCCTTCACTGCATTGCACACTTTTGACCAAAATTGTAATACCCTCTGCAAGGCTATAAAATAACCTATTGCCTTCTTTAATTTTGATTTACCTTTTATTTTGTTATGATTGGTTTTTAATAATATAATCCGAACATATACAAACCTGAATAATAAGCCCGAATTTAAATCTATAACTGCATGTACGAAAGGTTGTCATTCTAGGTGCCAAAACGGAGAGATCGGGGTCGTTGCACTACAAAATAAAATAAAATACACTTTAAAATAGGTGACACCAAAATGGAGCAAATTTAACACATAATCTTGGCTTCACTCAGAAAAATAGTTTGCGTTGGTTTGAACATTTTCTTCACTTAATATCAAAGCGAGCTGGGTAAATATTTCATCATTCATTCGATGTTATTTTATTATCCTATTAATACCTATAACCTATATTCAAAAATACCAAATCGTAGCATTTTAACTTTCTAACTCTACAAGTAATAGTTTTTCCGATCAATCAGTTATATATATGGCAGCTATAGGATATAGTCGGCCGATCCTTATGAAATTTGGTTGGTCGGATTAACTGACCAAAAACATAATCTGAACTAAATTCCAGCTTTATCTTCAAAAATACGAAAGATGGGTCATTTCCCATCGTTCAGTTATATGGCAGCTATAGGATATAGTCGGCCGATCCTTATGAAATTTGGCATGTCGTATTATTGTGCCAAAAATAGCTCCTGTGTAAAATTTAAACTCTTTAACTCTAAAATCACTAAAGTTATACCATTTCCGATCAATCAGTTATATGGCAGCTATAGGATATCTCTCCGATCCCGGCCGTTCCGACGTATATACTGCGTGCAAAGAAAATAAGGGTGCGTGCAATGTTTCAAGACAATAGCTTTAAAACTGAGAGACTAGTTCACGTATAATCAGACAGACAGACGGACATGCTCATATCAACTCCGACCCTATAAGGTATATATATTCTTGATCAGGATCACCTCCTGTCTCCTTCACTGCATTGCACACTTTTGACCAAAATTGTAATACCCTCTGCAAGGCTATAAAATAACCTATTGCCTTCTTTAATTTTGATTTATAAAATTAGATACCTTTTATTTTGTTATGATTGGTTTTTAATAATATAATCCGAACATATACAAACCTGAATAATAAGCCCGAATTTAAATCTATAACTGCATGTACGAAAGGTTGTCATTCTAGGTGCCAAAACGGAGAGATCGGGGTCGTTGCACTAAAAAATAAAATAAAATACACTTTAAAATAGGTGACACCAAAATGGAGCAAATTTAACACATAATCTTGGCTTCACTCAGAAAAATAGTTTGCGTTGGTTTGAACATTTTCTTCACTTAATATCAAAGCGAGCTGGGTAAATATTTCATCATTCATTCGATGTTATTTTATTATCCTATTAATACCTATAACCTATATTCAAAAATACCAAATCGTAGCATTTTAACTTTCTAACTCTACAAGTAATAGGATTTCCGATCAATCAGTTATATATATGGCAGCTATAGGATATAGTCGGCCGATCCTTATGAAATTTGGTTGGTCGGATTAACTGACCAAAAACATAATCTGAACTAAATTCCAGCTTTATCTTCAAAAATACGAAAGATGGGTCATTTCCCATCGTTCAGTTATATGGCAGCTATAGGATATAGTCGGCCGATCCTTATGAAATTTGGCATGTCGTATTATTGTGCCAAAAATAGCTCGTGTAAAATTTAAACTCTTTAACTCTAAAATCACTAAAGTTATACCATTTCCGATCAATCAGTTCCGACGTATATACTGCGTGCAAAGAAAATAAGGGTGCGTGCAAGGTAGCTTTAAAACTTTGAGACTAGTTAACGTATAATCAGACAGACAGACGGACATGCTCATTTAAACTTAGAAGGTGATCCGGATCAAAAATATATATACTTTATAGGGTCGGAGATTTCTCCTTCACTGCGTTGCATACTTTTGACCAAATAAGTTGCAAAAGAGCTTTTACAGAGAACTACCTAATCTAATTTTCAAAGAATAGTATATTTATAGTATCCCTAAATACTATGTCCCGAATTAGAAGTCTGTTTTCGCCTGGGCCAATAAAGTACAGTAGAATTTTCACGAAAAAAACATCACAAAATTGTAAATAAAAAAAAAAGTAAGCAACATAAAAAAATATTTAAAAAAAAATCCTACGTGTGTCGCTAGATAAAGGTATTTTTAATATACTGTCAAAATTAAAAATCGATCGGTTAAGATCTGTTCGAGTTATGTTTCAGGCCAGTCTCAAAAAAGTGATTCGAGAAAAACGCGTTTAGAGTTTTAAGTACTGTGGGATATACTTGTGAGGCATCGCCGCAGAATGGAAAATTTCGACACTGACACTTTTGCCGGACTCTCGCCGCAGAATGGAAAATTTTCAAAGAATAGTATATTTATAGTATCCCTAAATACTATGTCCCGAATTAGAAGTCTGTTTTCGCCTGGGCCAATAAAGTACAGTAACATTTTCACGAAAAAACATCACAAAATTGTAAATAAAAAAAAAGTAAGCAATATAAAAAAATATTTTAAAAAAAATCCTACGTTTGTCGCTAGATAAAGGTATTTTTAATATACTGTCAAAATTAAAAATCGATCGGTTAAGATCTATTCGAGTTATGTTTCAGGCCAGTCTCAAAAAAGTGATTCGAGAAATACGCGTTTAGAGTTTTAAGTACTGTGGGATATACTTGTGAGGCATCGCCGCAGAATGGAAAATTTCGACACTGACACTTTTGCCGGACTCTCTTTTATCGGTTCTTTTGACGTTATTTTTAGGACCCTAAAGAATTTTTGAGGCGGAAAAAAAAATGTTCGATTGAGACTAGTTTGCGTAGTCTGCGTAGGCTGCGTGACTTGTAAAAAAGGTACAATGTATGTACATATGTTTAAATATATAAGGTAAAACAAATAAAATATTTACCCGATAGATAGATATTCCTATATCTTCACATAATCTTGTATCTTTGTAAATTTAATTCCATAAAAAACGAAGATAGGACAATAAATCTAAAAAAAAAAAAAATGGAATTGTTTTGTAAAAAAAAATTTATTATTCTGGTAAAATTGTATTGTAGCTACACTCAGCTATTTGGTGTTCATCAAGAAAGAACAGAGACGAAAAATAAATTCATCACAGATAATATTCTTTTAACTTAAACTAATTAAAACGACGTGTAGTTGAGACTTAATTTTATTTTTTAATGCATACAACTTAGAATGTTTTTTGTATTAAAAAATATAAATAAATGGCATCTTTAATAAATTTTCTTAAAACTATTTTAGTTTAAGTTTAGTTTACCTTAAGGGGTTATATACCTTTTTTATTTTCAAAAAAACGAAAATTTTTTTAGTGGTTTATCTTGAAGAACAACTCCTTGGAACTTGAAACTTTAAACGCGAATATCTCGAAATGGTGTTTCTTGAAAAATGACTTTGCGGTGACATGGATTGGCGGAAAACTACTGAACCAATTTACTTCAAATTTTTTTTTAAATGTTCGTAATGAAATTCTCTTGTGCTTGAACGATCGACTTTTCACGCGCAAACTTTTTTTTCGGCGAAATAAATTTTTTAGTGAAATTTCTAGAGACCAAAACGTTTATTTTTAGCATAAAACGCTGCCATATCCAAACAAAAACAAAAAAATTTTAAAATCGATCGTTCAAGCACAAGAGATTACTCTAAACTAATGAAATATTTTTACTTTTATGGTTTAAGTTGACCTGTTTGACCTGGGGAACTGTCACCGCAAGGCTCTAAAAAAAAGGCCTCTAAGGGAAACAGCCACCCCTTAAAAACTATTTAATATTTTTCCACCAAATTGTGCACAAACATTGTTAATAAAGTGTACTATCAAAAAATTAAAACATCCGTGTAATTAAATAATTGCTACATACCTAAAAAAAATCCGAACTTTGCTCATTTTCTTCGACAAAGAAGATATATAACCCCTTAAATGGTACGTTTCTGGTACCTTGAATCCATTTGAATTAAAATCTGAAATGTGAAAATTTTATTATTTTATTTTGGAATTTCTAATAGAAGCCCTACCTTTTAAAAAACTTTTTGTAATTTCTCCCTAATTAAGAAATAATAGTATACCTACCTATTAATAGAAACCATCTCCCAAACCCACATATACCAAAAACTTTAAATATATGGTCTACAAAGCACAGAGTGTATTTTGTATTATCTGTGAATGCAATACATTAAAAATCCATTTCACATTTTTTAAACGGCCTCTTGAACTGGCGGTTCATATCCTTCTGGGCGATCAATTACAGCCCCTTCGGTAGACACAACAGGGTCGGATGACTTTCCACCTCCATCGCCGTGCAACTCCAAAAGTTTAGAGACGTCAAAACGTGGCTTCTTCAATACCTTGACTTTACGAATGTAAACATCATGTAAAGGATAAATGCGCTGACAGCTTTTCTCTATATCTTTTGCTATTGAGTCTAATGCAAGCTTGTTAACTAGTTGCTTTAGATCGGCACCGCTGACTTCATTAGTTATAATATCAGTCATACGAGCGCGAATCTTGCGCACCTGCGACTGTTGAGCATAGCAAGTTTTACGCTGAGACTGTTGATCCTTGGCAGTAAAACCAATACAGAAGACCCGTAAGAGGTATCCGTCAATAGTTTTAGCTTCGACTATCGCTTCAATTAATGTTTGCCACTTTTTCACCATAGATCTAAACAGAATATAAACAAATATAATTAAATGCATTTTAAAAGTTACTTTTTGGGACAGAACACAATCATACTTAAGCATATGAACTTGCATTACAGCATACATTTATATGAATAAATTCCGTACCTATATTTATCTGTAGTCAGATCCATACCATGAAAGTTGCAAAGAACATTGCGGTCCTGAACATCTTCAGCAATAAGACGAAATTTTCGGAATGACCTCTCTGGGTCAATGTCCTTTTGCAAGTCAGCCAAAGACACTTCGAAAACGCGACCTTTTAAATAGTCAGAGGCAATTCTTTGTCCCTGAGTACGGTTCACAAGAGTCTTCCCGATTTGACGGGTTTGAAACATATTTGGAGCTTTAACATCGTACCAGTCCTTGCGTGAAAATGGATCTACCACCTTCTTCTTTCCACCTTTCTTACCACCTTTGGAAAGACCCTTATTTTTACCGACTGCCATGTTGAACGATTAAACCGGAAAAGGTCGAAACACGCTGACGCCAGTTGTCAAAAAGAAAGAAATAGGTGTTGGTTAATGTGCAATGGGTAAGAAAAAATGTTAGGGCCTTTATGCACTTAACGATTTTTGACTTATAATGATCTGTTTTTATTGGGATGTTGACAGAGGAAAAGAGGTATTTTGACATAAATAAACAGACACATATAGTCTAACAAACTACAATTTAACCAAAACTATATTAAAGAAATATTTATTTATTTAAGAATTTTACGCGCAATTTAAATTGCGCGGAAAAGTATATTTTTACAGCTATAGCAACTAAAGGCCTTAAGCTACTTATTTACATTGTTGAACATTTTTTTTTTTCTAGAGTAAGTTATGTACATTGGAAATTCTTGTTTTGTTAAGGGGAGGGTAAGGTCAAATCATGCGAAAAAAGCCATGTTTTTGTGATTTTTTTCCTGACGACACAGTTAAAATTTATTTATTCAACCAACGGTATATTAAAGTATGACATTAGAAGAATGTTTAATAAAATTTTTAGAAAAAAATATTTAAAAATATGGCAATGGTAGCAATTGTCCGGACGTGTCGCCAAAAAAAGTTGAATTGCGGTGCCCCTCATAACTCGGTGCTGGATCATTTGTAATCAAAAAATGAAAACTCATTCGTTAGATAATAGTTCGCTGTAAAGGTTTTTTGAAAATTGCAATTTTTTAATTTTTTCGAAGACTTTGAAGTGAAAAACTCAATTTTTTGGGAAAAAATCGGTTAATTTGTCATTGCGAAATCAAAATTATGAACAAAAAAAAAAAAAACTCGACAGCGTTACCTCGTAAAATATGTACAGAAATGGTGTTTAAAATTTCAAAAGGATCGGTGCAGTAGTTTTGAATTTATGAGGGGCACCGACTTTGAAAACGTGAGTTGTGGGAAAAACGGTTTAAAGTTTTAAACTCGAAAAAAAACCAGTGTAAAACGTTTGCAAGCAACTTCGTCTATAACTAATAACTTCGTCAATTTTGCTTTAATTGACTTGAAATTTTGACACAATATTCTTCAGATATTATGCATTCAATTTAAAAAATAAAAAAAAAAATGAAAAAAAAAAAATTTAATACCTTACCCTCCCCTTAATATCTATTATTTTATGATAAAAATGTTTGTAATTTTATGTATGATTGCTTATGATTATATACAATGGTAAATATTGGTGCTTTTTAGGAATTGTATTGTATTTTGTATATTTTTGTATGAGGTAATTTCAGCTATTGTTTGTTTTAGAAATTTGGATCTCTCTTGCTGCAGTCCAGGGCAGTCGACGAATATGTGTTGTAGGGTCAAGATTGTGTTGCAGTTTGGGCAGATTGGTGGTGGTGTTTTATTGATTAAGTGGCTGTGGGTTATGTTGGTATGTCCTAGTCTTAATCTTGCGAATTTAATTGAGTCTGCTCGAGAGATGTTTTTAGTAGGTTCGCTGTCGTGGTTTATTTGTTTGTAGTGGGTTGAGGAGTTATTGAGAATTGAGTTTTTAATTATTTGGGTATTTCGTTTAAGGTATTTAAAGATGTCGGATTGGTTGTGGTTGTTTTGAATGATTAGTGGGAAATTGTTTGCTTTTTTTGCCGTTGTATCTGCGAATTCATTACCTATGATCCCGCAGTGCCCAGGGACCCATAATAGCAAGATTTTATTTTTTTTTAATTTGTTTAATATTTCCCTAAAGGAGGTGGTGTAAAAATTTTGTTTTTTGGTGTTCCCGATCTCCTGTAAGGCTGAGAGGGAATCCGTTCATATTGCAAATTTCCGTCGAAGTTTACTGGCGTAGTTGCATGCTGTTAGTATTGCCGATATTTCGGCAGTGTATACGGAGGAGTACTGAGGTAGTATGTGGTGTTCGATGACCTCGTTTTCTCTTGTGACGCTGAATGAAACGCCGTCCTCAGATTTAGATCCCTCTGTGTAGAGGAATTGTCTATTTGGTAGTGTGTTTTTTAGTTCATTAAATTTTAGCTGGTAGATGTTGGGTGTTGTGTTTTCTTTGTGCAGTGCGTGTAATGAAGTGTTTATGTTTGCGTTGCTGCTTATCCAGTGAGGGGTCTTTTCCTTTTTGCATGTTACCGGTGATATGTGAATATTAAGATTTTTGAATTGTTCTATTGTGTTGTGTAGTGCCGACGGGAGTTTTGGAGTATTTTTTGAGTTATTGATTTTGTAGTATATTTTTTCTATTGGAGAGTGTTTGGAGTGGATTATAGTTTTGAAATTTTTTTGCGTTGCAAATGTTGTTCTATGTTCTATTGGTAATATATTGGCTTCGTGGAGGAGATTGTTGATTGGGGTTGTACGGAATGCATTGAAAGCGATTCTTATTGCTGATTGGTATATTGTTTTAAGCTTGCTTAGTGTGGTTTTGGGAGCATGCCCATATATGTGTAACCCGTAGTCGATTTTTGACATAATGATGGATTTGACCACGTATAAAATTGTGGTTGTGTTGCAGCAGAATTTTTTGCTAGAGAGACATTTGATTACGTCGAGTCTTTTGAGGGAAGTGACATTCTGTAGGGGGGAGCTGTTGGATTGCAGTGTGAGGCAGCAGTTTTTCTTTCTACAGATATGCAAGTGTTTGCACTTTCTGGTTGAAAGCGATGCGCCAGAGTAGTTGCACCATTGGTTTATGTCATTTAGAAGTGGGTTCAAGTTGATGCTGTTTTGTATTTTCCCTGGCTTGTAGGTTAATGTGAAGTCGTCAGCGTATCCAGTGAATTCAATATTTTTGTGTTTAGCTATTATTTTATTAAGTTGGTTAAATGCGATTGCAAAGAGTATCACAGATAAGGGAGAACCTTGCGGTATTCCGTTGTGTAGTGGTTTCGGATTGGAGTACGATTTGTTAGCTAGGACTGTGATTTTTCTGTTGGTGAGAAAGTTTATTATGTAGTTTAGGATAGTGGGTCCTATTTTCCAGGTGTGGAGTTCCTCGACGATGCTGTGGATGCCTATTCTGTCAAAAGCTTTCGCGAAATCTAACGAGATGATCGAAATGTGGTTTTTTCTCAAAAGGGCCGTAGTTATCTGATAATCTAGCAGAGCTAGAGGGTCAGAAACCGATTTTCCCTTCCTAAATCCCATTTGACGGTTATCAAGAAGCTTGCCATTTATAGCTAGCCACCATAGCCGTTTTGCTATTATCTTATCGAGAATCTTGAAATGCAGGGGTTAAGCGAGATGGGTCGGTATGAGTTAATGTTGGTTTTGTCATTATTTGGCTTGAGTATGGGAATTACACTGCTTACTTTAAATTGCTGGGGGATATTTGATCGGAGGATGTTGTTGAAGAGATTAAGAAGTCTGATTTTTAGATTAGTGGGTAAGTACTTCAGCATTGGATAGCTTATGCGGTCTCTGCCAGGAGTTTTTCCCTTGAGTTGGTTGAGTGCAGTCTGTAGTTCTACAAGCGTTATTTCTTTTTCGATCTCAAGTGCTGCAGCAAAAGTGCTGTGGGTGACGGAATGTGTGTGTTAGGGGTTAGGTTAGTTTTTCGTTGAATGAAATTTTCGTGGAAGTTGCTGTCGAGTGATGCATTTGACCAGTGTGTGCAGAGGGTATTGGCTATTTCGTTATTGTCTAGAATGCTTTTTGTGTCAATGGGATTGGTAAGGCAGTGGATGTTGTGTCTGGTTTTCAGGCCGCAGAAACGGTTGATTTTGGACCATATTTCTCCGATTGGAGAATTTGGGTTGATTTGTGCAGTGAAGTTTTCCATGGATTTTTTTTTCCTAATTTTTATTTCCCGTTTGAGTTTAGCGTTGGCTTTTTTGTAAATTAGTATGTTTGTGGTGTCAATGTATCTGTATAGATTTGTCTAAGCCATTTTTTTTTCATTTTGTAGATTTTGGAGAGTTTGGTCCCACCATGGTACGTTCCTCTTTTTGTTAGAGGGGTGTGATTGGGGAATGGATTCGTTGGCAGATTGGATTATTATCTTGGTTATATTGGCGGTTTCTTTGTTTATATTAGCGCTGGGGGGTTTTTCGGCGGATAGTTTATCTGCGATTTCCTGGAAGAGTGGCCAGTTTGCCTTTTTTAGATTAAATCTTGGTCTTTCAGTGGGGTTGTTTACTCTATGTTCGTCAAACATTTCGATATGGATTGGATAATGGTCGCTGCCTGATAGGGAGGTGTCCGTATACCATTTGGAGCTCAGATTAAGAGGTGGAGATGCAATTGAGAGATCTATGTGCGTGAATGTGTGGTGGGTTGTTAAGTGGGTGGCTGAGCCATTGTTTAGAGTTGTGAGCGAAGATTGATTGATGTATTCAAATAAAATTTTACCTCTTTTATTGTTGGTTGGTGAGCCCCAGCTTCTGTGTCAGCTATTAAAGTCGCCAGTAATAAGTAGGGGAGGGCTTAGATTGTCGTAGATGTTTCTTAGGTTTTGTATTGTGTAGTTTTTGTTGGGTGGTATGTATGAAGATACTATTGTAAATTTAGTTTTGGACTGAATTGTTACTGCTATTGAGTCAAAGTAAAGGGAGTTAATTGGTTCATTTTGTTGTTGCAGTGAGTTGTGGATGAGAAGAGCGACACCCCCAAAACTGTTGGTGGAAGTGTTTTCGTGATATAGGGTATAGTTAATCGGTATAGGTATATTTTGAGTGCAGTGTAGGCGTGTTTCTTGAATAGAAATTATCTTGGGGCAGTGTTTTTTTATGAGATTTGTAATTGGCTATAATTGTTTATGTATCCGTCCATGTTCCACTGAATTATTTTGAGCATGGTGATTTTTGATATGGAGTGGGTGAAATTTAAAGTTGAAAGTCTTCGTCTGTGCTGGTGTTATCTGTATTTTTTTTCTTAGTTTTCTTGTCGGGCTTAGTCTTGGTGTTGAGTTTCTCTTTGGATTTTAAGGGGGTACCTATTTTATTTGGTTTAATTGAGAATATTTTAAGTTTAAGGTCATCGGAGAGTTCAGATCGCGTTGAGTATTTTGAAGAGGTCGTGTCCATGGGTTCATCGAGTAGGTCGTCGTAGGTGGTGCATTGTCTCCTAAA